TAATACCAGTAGTTTATTTGATTTGCCAATACTGCTAGGTCTCTATATTAACGAGTATTCAATGGTCAAAATTAATAGTAACTCTCCGCATATAATATTTGACTGAATTTCAATATAAATAAGCTTTGAAGGTTGTTATTTAAGTTATAGAGTAATAATACCAAAGGATGGAAAAAACATCTGGTATTTACGCCAGAAGAAAAATAAGGATAATATGCAAAAAGCAGGCATTTCTGTGTTAGTTTGAAACTTGCAGCCTTGCAATTCTGTAAGTCACTTTTCGAACTCTCACAGCGGTTTTCGCAGCGGCGGTCGCGCTCAAATCAGTCGTGAAGCAGTCTTTTTACAATTTGGCATTCTGATAAACAATAAACTACAATCTCCCTCCGCTTGTTAAGACGTAATGTGAAATTGCTTAACAGAATACCATGAGATTCCAAAAATGACGTGAGTGATGAAGGGAGCGTTGTTAGTGCGAGGTGAACTCACGGATTAATAGAATCGCACGGCAGGTCCTGAATGTACTCGTTTATAGTGTATAAAATATACTTTGATACACTTAAAGTATTGTATTAAATTTAAAAAACACAAGTAATTCTCTGGTATATTGTTCGTAGCGAATTATCTAGCTCACATGAACCACAAATGCAGGACTTCTCAGCTAAATCAGCACTATTCACGCGTAATCCGGGATAATCCATGGCGTACCCCAGGGCCTAAATGCTTTAGGATATAGATTAAATTTAACGATGTGATCCCAATTTCGGCTTTTAGCCCTCAAACAATTTAATACTTGGATAATATTGCATTACATTTAAAACCTTGTGACCGGCTTTATGTGCTGACGGTTTCTTCTCTTGGGAATATTTAGGAACTCTTAGGGAAAGGTTAGAAGGTTAAAGTTTTTGTTTATAAAACGTCTTTTAGTGGAGATGTTTCTGAGTTATGTCCTATTATTGTCCATATTAAACAGTAGAGGCGATCAGGCTGGGAACGTAAAACAAAAGAAAAAACGTTTGTATGTTCCGTTTAATTGTAATTTGTCAACAGCATCTTTAGTCTTTCACATCCAAAGTCCATGTTATAAATAATAATAATCATAATTTATTGCAAGAATATGGTACAAAAATGTGCAAGGTGGTACAATACACATTTTTGTATGTATAAAGTGTGGTACAAGTTCGCAAATTCTGCCACACACAATGAATTTGCCAGGCGCAAATTTGCCTTTAAAGGGATTTATATTTTACATTATTAGTCATATGAATTGGTCAGTATTTATATTATTTGTATCGTACATATCATATCATACGTTATTAAATTTATATCAACTACAGTGTCGCACGCAAATAATCATTTATTGATTTTTTTCCAAAAGTAATACACCAAGTCGATTTTTAAAGACTCTAGTCGGAAGATCTTTTAATTCTTTTGGTAAATTATTGTAAACTTTAATGACTATACAAAAGATGTTTTTTCCTAAACAGTTCCAGATTGATTTTCGGCCCAGCCAATTTCTCCCCAAGTCTACTTCGTATTTCGATTTCTACATTCGACTTAAAAATATGTATGTTTCTGTGCACGAATATGGACATTTCTAATATTAAATACAGGAAAGAGATAAAATTTTGAGCTTCTTAAATAAAGGTACGCAACTATCAACACAGTTTGCTCCATAAATTGCTCTAATACATTTCTTTTGAGCCTTAAATACCCTATTTACTTCGACTGAATTTCCCCAAACTATATTTCCATATCTAAGTATAGATGAAACATATGCATGATAAGCAGCTAATACCGTATCATGGTTAACAGTTTCCCTTAGTCGTTTTAACACAAAAACGAAGCTGCCTATTTTGTTTTGTAATTTTTCAGTATGTTTGTTTCAGTATTTTCCAACTACAAAATTTATCTAGCGTTATACCTAAAAATACACACTCGTTCATTATGTCTAGTTTGTATATTGTAAGTCTATTTGTGTTTTTGAGTTATATGTCTGAAAATGGATTATGTTAGTTTTGGTCATGTTTATTTGTAGAATTAATTCATCCAGTTGATGGCATCGTCTAGAAATTTAATTATAATGTTATAACTTTCGTATAACTAATTACACCAAAAATACTCATGTAAAAGCAACTGTATTCTAGAATAAGTGTTCGTCTAGTGGTTGATCATGAACTTAAGGTGGTGCGTTTGAACACCTGCTTCGAGCACCTACGAATTTTATTTTTATGTACGCAATTAAGACCTATTAATATGGTAAAGCTAACCAAAAAGGCAAGACACAAAAATTGAATGTCTAATCTATAAAAGAAAAAAATATCAAAGATAAGGTTGTATGTAAATTCAGTTTACGGACGATAATTTTACGTGATAACGTCATAAGAAAACATCATTATTTTGTATAATACAAGAGATAATTGAAAACAGAGAATACAAGAGATTTTGATAAATTAACATATACTCGTTAGTTCAAATATTAATTATTATTAATAATTAAAGAACGAATATATGAGAACTTTTCACTTTAAGTAACTTTTTACTTCACTTTATAAACATATGACAAAGCAGTTCACGTATAGTTTGTGCGCTGCCGCTCTCTCTCTTTTACTCGGACGCATCAGCCGATGGAGTGGAAGAGAGATAAATGCATCACAAGCCAAACGCTTAGGCCGATCGTGCCTCTCTATCGCTTGTTCCGCGCTCTTGCTTGCACGCTCGGCTCAGGCGGAACGTGACAATGAGTCATGCTTGTCAAAAATACGTATAAATCAATAAAATGTCTGATGCTGACATACAAATGTTTCATACACTTTATTATTATTAACTTAGTAGAAGCGTCAGAAAATACATATAGAAATATATGTATTTTCTGTCTGACTTGTTCATGTCAAATAATATGATAATTTATACTAAAAATGACTTTTTATTTACGTTTGATTTACCTTATAGAAAACTAAAAATAGTAAGGGCTAGAAAACTAAAAATAGGAAGAACACAAATAGTATACCCAGTTTCCATCGGCTAGGTTTCGATTGGGTCCAACCGAGCGTGATCCGCCGCCGGCAAAACTCCCGCTGCAGACGTGAGGAAAAACTGTGAATAACGGTGTAGAACACTGCTTTTAAACTTGCATAGCTTTTTTTAAAACGACTGTTATGAATAGAGTCACAGCTTAATTGGTTTCAAGTCACGGTTGAAGCTAGATATTGTATACTACACAATATAATATTACGTACAAATACATAACCCAAAATATATTAGAATGAAATTTCAAAGAAAACTTCTATGTCACATAATATTGAGAAACGTATGTAGTAGATAAAGTGTTTGGCAAGTGTTCGATTTTTAAATTTGCCTTGTTGCCGCAACAAGTTAAAGGGAATAAAATTTGAATTTCATATAAAGCAAGTGGTGTGATAGTCAGGGAAAATGTGTGAGAATTTCAGTATACAATTTAGCAAAAAGGTGTCAAGAGAGTTGAAATAAATAGGTGAAAATGCTTGAGTAGCGTATTTACGTCACGTGAAAGAATATACATAAATAAACACGCCTTACTGTCCCTAAAAGTTAAAAGACATTTTCCCGTTTTTTCTATGGAGATCTCGCAGAAAGAGCGTTTTAAGATGTATATTTATTAAATGGCACGGCATTTCATTAAATATCTCAAATTAAAATTCTAAAAGATTTCGAAGCGAACATCATATTATTTAACGAATATTTTATTTACTCTTCATCAACAACTTACAAATTTCTTAACTCTTATATCTTAGAAGAGGAACACAGTGCGGACTTATCGTTATTCAGTGATCGTTCCCAGGCAACTCTTATATATATGCCTTTATTAATAAAACAGTCAGTCATTAATTGATAGTTTTAAGTTAATCAGTCTTAAACATATTTAACTGAATTTTTTTCAATTGCCCTGGTGGTAGACCATGTAGACCACGAAATATTGCCATATGAGAAAGTCTTATCCATAATCCAAGGTGTGGTTAAAAACCAATACTTCACCATTGGTCTAACTCAGATTAAAGATTCAGCTAATATTCTATACAAACCTTGTTCGAAGCGTAAGTAGAAACGCAGAATGGTGTTTACAAATCGAATTTTTATCAAAATAAATAGGTATTAATATAAAAATAAAAGATTTTTAAAAACGTATCTTTTATTGAAATCAAATTTGAATTTATTTAAACAATATCACTAGACTATAGATATACTACATAGAGTTGCTACAACAGTGGAATGGAATCAAATTATATAAAATTATAATACCCTGATAAGGATATATGCATCCATGCATTAGCACAGATACTAATTTCGATGTCTTACATCATTATACAAAATTTGTGACTGCATTATCCGAACAAAAGGTGTTGAAATAATTTTGCGTATTTCGTTAATAAACATCTTGAACTTTGGTGCCAATGCCGTGTCTTATAGACTTAGTTGTTTCGAAGGTTGGTAATCATCATGGCTACTTTAATATTGGTTGCAGCGCTTCTGAACAAGCACCAAGTGATTGTTCAGAAGCCAGAACCAGTCCTTCTCCCTGCCACTTAAATGATTAGTTGAAGGAGCTCGTCTTCAATCCTGTGTAGTGTAATGCTATTTTTATGTAACACACACAGGCTTGCTTAACACCTGCGTGGACACTTCCACTCTAGCCAATTGCTTGCAGATGAGTGCACGCCCTCTGCAGCATGTATAAGTTACGAGAGTTTATACAGGATTAGCACATTACTAACAAAAAATGCATGGTTTTTAACAAAATTGTATCACTAATATTATTTTATTAATCTGCGCTAGTAGGTATTTTCCATTTATATACTCTTTAGATAATATTTCTTTTGTATTTTTATATAAATAATAATTATTAACAGATTATATATTTAGACATTACAGTCACAATATCACATAAGTACAGGGTTTTAATTATTTACATTACATACTTTACAATATGACGTAATATGTAAAATTTATTAACGTTTTTACAATTAATTACTTATCACTGATATACACCATTTGACCAAATGCAATGCACCGATCAAATGTAAGATTGATGATGGTCTGTATTTAATCCAATGAGCTTTTCCTTGCATTGCTGCGGGTGATTCACCTAGAATGAAAAAATACATGTATACATGGTTTTCACTCTTTTGTTTTTTATAGAACAGGGGGCAAACGGGCAGGAGGCTCACCTGATGTTAAGTGATATACATGGCCACTCTCAATGCCAGAGGGCTCGCAAGTGCGTTTTAAGAATTGGTACACTCTTTTCTTGAAGGATCCTAAGTTAAATTAGTTATAATCTATTCAAGACATTGCAAGTTGAAGGGCACGTCAATGTTGAGAGGATTACAAGATATTTATTTATTTATCTCTAAGCCATGGATATTAAATTAATATTTGTGAAATATTGGTCTTGATAGAAGATACAGTTAAAAATCCTAGAAGGATACAAACTTGAAAATTTTGCAGCCTCTGGTCTAGACTACCAATTTTTTTATGGAATCTCGCTGTTGGCCTCAAGGGCCTTTACGGCTCAGCTCAGTTTTGGCGAGCATAGCTTGGCCTGAATTGGCGTAAAACTACCACTTGTGTATGATGACCGTTGATAAGTAATTATTAATGTACCGATGACAAAAAAAAAATTACCAACTCCAATCAAATAACATTTACTTTTTTGAAACTACATTTATGCAGCGCTATCGCTACGGTTATATTTATTATTGTTTTTATAATTTTTTAAAACAATTACATGTAGATTATTATTAATCAACGATGGCAATTTAAGAACATAATACAGACTAAAATAGACTTACGGTTGCAAAAATATACTTTGAAAGGATTTTAGCAGCCTGGATTTATTTTATAATTTTACAACCTAAAAGATTTTAAAGGCTGTAATAAGGAAGTTAACGTATAAAAAATAACAGAAATAGTTCTTTAAAAATAACAAGTAAACAAAACACTAATGGAAATATGGCGTTTATTATTATCAACAGCGTAATAAAGATACCCTCCGACCTCGAACACTTAAATAGAGGTTTATCTCAATACTAAATATATTTTAACCTTTATGAATAGTAGTCATGAAACACTTAAGCATTCCACACAAAATGAAAACGAACGAGCGATAAAGCTTTATGTTGCGAGAAACGCATCAACGTTCATCAAAATTAAATTTACTGAAAAATTTTCATTAAAATTCAAACAAAATGCATATTCATTCAATTTATGATATAAAAAATAAAAAGATATAAAAAAACATTTAACTTTTAAATCGAGCGTCCATATGTTATGCTTAGGAGTCAAATGTTTGGAATAGAATTTAAGTTTGCGCTTTCGAATGAAATAAACTTAGTTCGGAACTAGAAATTGAGTGAGCATTTTAGTTTAGTTACAAATGCATATGAAATTTATTACCATAGTACTTTCGAAACTTTGTGTATGTTTGGATTCAATCATCTCTGAAGGCATAATAAATGCATTTCCTTTAAAATTAGAAGTAATGCAAGTCAACAAGAACTTACACGTCTTCATAGCGGTAACTATTTCAAAGAGTTGTAAGATCTTAATTAAATAATCTGAAATCGATAAACCTATTTACAGAAAATAACACACCTTAATAAATTATATAATTCGCCAAATTATTTTTGGTACTTTTAAAATGATTGTATAGAACAGGAGGCAAAAGAGTCGGAAGCTCACCTGATACTAAATTATAAAACTTCTCAGATATACATATATGTCTTAGAATCCTTGCTATACCTTTTCTCTACAAACTGGAGTAATAAAACTGATATTAAAAGCGTTGATCGGTAAGCAATGTTCCAAAGTATTTCACGTATCATTGGACATTGGCTGAAATTGTTCCAGTCTTGCCAAATGTTCGTCCAACCGAGTTATTTACTTAACTGGTCAAAATTATAACTTTTATTGCTTTTATTTTTGTATTTAAACTTCAGCAAATGCTACAATTCCGATAAAAAGGGTAAGAAAATTCTGAATTCTGAATCTGATTAATTGAGAAATCTGAGTAGATGATAAATTGTTGATGTTTTTTTATTTTTTCCAACCCCAATTTCTATGCAAAATAATTGTATATAACACATGTATATAAAACACGCTTGAAATGTAGATTATTCCTTTTTTTTACTGTCCATAATTTCTTTTTTGATTATTATTATTATTTTGTATGTTTCATTAGTAATAAATGTAATGTCTTTGTCTAAATAACTCATCATAGAATAATATATGCAAATCTAGAACAGAAGAAGAAAATACCACAATATTAGTAGACAAGAATTTCTTATACATTTTCCATTACCGCTGGTGAAGGTTTACATTTATTACAACTAAATATAAAAAGATTGATTCACAAAACCGATCAAAAGAATCAACATAAGTATAAAAATATAAAAGCTATGTGAGAAACGTCTCTAAAACTAAAAGCCCATCTAACTAAGCAAGAGGCATGTCAACAGACTGCTCTTCAAAGAGATTGGAACGAGGCAAAGCATTGCCAGGGGGATTGCAAAATATGTACCGTAACGGCCTATTGTGGTTCCGAGTGCTTTATAAAAGCTATATGAATATATTGTTTGATTAAAACCTTTACAATAATTCACGGTGCTGTATACTAAATATTCCAGAGGGAAATAATTGAATAACTAAGCGTCGGTTAGGAATTTAATAGATGGTATTCAGTTCTTATATGATGGTATAATATTCTAATAAACTTTCGCAATTTTAAATGCTTTACTAACCACTGCTAACTTAAATATAGGTTTTACTCGCCATTATATTTTCAAATTCCATTCATTTTGTTTCAATCAACAATAGGTCAAGTATTACTAAAGTAAGATGTGTTATTGATTGCTTTGACAAATTAAGTTATTTCTAATAGAATCTCATGAAAATACAAGTTCATTTATAATTCTTATGCATTCATAGGCGTGGTTGTTACACACGATTAATTGTCTTCTACCGGCTCCTAAACAGGAACTGCCAATAAACCAATAAGCACATACCAGTAAGTACATGTACCCTCACGGAAGCTGACTGCGCATTATCAGGTACACATTCGTATGCACCTGCATCTGATGTGCGTGCAGCCTGCACCAATAGCCTACTACTGCTATGGATCCCTTTTTCAGTCACCAACGATATTCCACCACGCGTTGAGTCGAAATTTATAGTCTGAAATTTTACAATTACCTTTAATATAAAAGTTCAATATAAAGAGGAAATTTTTCTAATTATGTGTTTTCGTTGAATTGCAATTTCAAAAAATACAGGTCCGAGTTAAAAAAATATTTTTCTATTAGACTGCTGCGTTATCTCTGAAAAATATAGGCTATATTTAATTCTAAATAACCAGAAATAATAACTTTTTTTATTACTGGTATGAAAGGTATTTAAGGCATGGAAGAAAAGCTTAAGATAAGCATTGGAACCAGTGTAGTTTTAAAATTTTAAAAAATGTTATTTTTTAAATTTTCTTTGCTAATAATTTGTAAACAACTGATTTTTTACTGTATTCAGAGCCAAGTGTACATTATGTTCACCTATATGATTAAATTATTTTTACTTTACTTAACCCAGTGTAGTTATTTTTTTACTATTTAAATATGCAATAAGCACAAGTTTAAGCACTGCCTGTATGGTTTACGGCAACAGAAAATGAATACAGACAATTGTTTTTTATAACAGAAAATAAAAAATTAAATACTTGAATGATTATATTATCAGATTACTGTATTACGTTTTAAAACTTATATGGTTTATTTTTATATAAAAGATTTTCTGCACTTTATTAAATAAATTAAAATATTTGTATACGTAACTACAATTATATACATTTAAATAGCCCTAAAAACAATGTTACACATTATTCTATGAATACATGGAATTGTGTAGTGTTAAATTCATATCCGATCAAACAATTATTGTATAAACATAATATATATTAGATTCCGTAAACTGACAAATAAGGTAAAAGAAAGTTTTATATGACCACTCCAGGACCACTCTATACTTTCCCACGCAATAAACTCCATCGAGTGATTTATAGATTTAGTTCTATTGCTCTAGTTTTAAAAGTAGCAATTTATTAAATGTTTTAAAATGGAGCACAATGTATGAAACATTTCGAAATTTTTGTTTTCCTTTCGCTGGAATATTCAATTTCGTGTACACTGTACATATTTGAAGTCGTACTTTAAGTTTATTTCAGTCACGTTAATACGAGGAAGGCTCTATACGTTTTCCTCGAAATAAATTACTTAACATCACATACTAGGTTGAGTGCAGCTAAATCGACCAATATGTGAATGTAAGAACTACATCAGGGCACTTTTAAAATTAAGATCTTTATTTGCTGGCTTCCGCAGTTTTGTTTAAGGGTTAGTTAGTTCACGTAGTTTGCTCTTAGATATAATTGCTGTGTTCATAAACAGCAATTACATCTCAAGTATAAATTTTTACAAAAAAATATTTGACAGTCTCTAGCACGGCTTGATTGATTCAATAATTTCAGTAATTAATTTTTTCATTACGCCCGTGTTCTATATTCGAAATGCCATTCGTAATTGCTACAAAGGAAAAATGTACCTGTGTGTTAATCAAGAAATCAATACCTATGTTAAAATAATATAAAGCTTAATATGAACTGAGTTTTAGATGACGTATACGTGCAAAATTGTATCGCATATTATGTGTTTTATATTTGATTCCACGTATCTTGGAATGCGGTTAATAATCTTTTTTTTAAGGTGTGGTGCCAATAAGTGTTAAACACATATGCTGTATGACTTTGAAGTTCTAGGTTTGATTCCCAGAGAAACAATATTTATAGCGTTGGAGGGCTAACTGAAAATATAAATACCACAGAATAAAATCTGATATAACGGAACTTCCGGTAAGTAATAGTACACCTCTCAATACATATCCAGCGAAAACAGTAGCTTTGAACACTGTCATGAATATACTATATTTTTATCATTTTTAATTGCTTTAAGACGTTATAAGGAGCATGATGTAATGATTGCAGTTCCATACAAACATTTAGTACAACAAAGAAACTTGGTGATTTTAAGAAGTGACCTCCATTTCGATTTGAGAGGCAATAAATTAGAAGCATATCATTTTAATTTAATCAATTTTCTTTTTGACGTTTTTAATAATGTGTCAGATTAATAAATTAAATTTTGCTTTTTTGATCTAACCATACGAACAAGTCCTAATTGCGCACATAGAGAGAAGAAAAGAAGAATTGGCCAGCCATTTAAGGCATAGGCGCAACCAGGGAACGCGTTGTAGGTCGTGCGTTTTAGCCACTAGGCCTACATTACTCAATAATAATAATAATAATATAGCGTTTAAGTTGCAAAACTGTGATCTGTGATCTTTAATATATTTGACTACAGTATATCTATCTCAAAGTTCGGTGTGCGTCTTGGCAAAGGCCTCTAACCCTTTCCACTGATCTCTATCCTTTGCTCTTCTCCAGTTGTAGCCTGCTGTTAGTTTGAGTTCGTCCTCTCATCATTTGCGTTGTCGGCCTCTTCTTCGTTTTCCATTTCTAGGGTGCCATTCCATCAATATTTTGCTCCATTTTTTATGGGAGCTCCATAGCATATGACCCGTCTATCTCCATTTCATTTGGTCTGTCTTAGTGTGAATGTCTGTCACACCTGTTGTATCTCTTATGACTGTATTTTTTTTCTTGTCTAATTCTTATTCTCAGCATGCTTCATTCCATGGCTCTTTGGCTGTCTGCTAGCATGTCCCTGTGCTGCTTAGAGAGTGCCCAAGTTTACTCTATAGGTATATAGTTTACAGCTTATAAATCCAACATAGGCGTAATGTCGTCTAGGATTAATTTGTTGGCAGATTGCTTCATCAAGCAGACAAACACAGCATTCGCAAATGAGTTTTAAAACTATCTAGGAGTATTTTGTCTCTAAATATTCAAACTTTGTCCATTAGAGTCTTCATTAATCTTCAGCACGAGATACTATCAACAGTCGTAATTGTTTAATAGCATACTCACCATACTGTTTTCTAGATTTTGTATATTTCTTAGCTGTTCGTAAATGTATCAAATTATTGCTTTATTAAACCATTATTTTTAATACATCCATAAGCGTTACTTTTATACACATCAGCTTCAGCAAATATATATTTGCATTTGTTTTCGTAATTATTATTTATTATTCAGTTTTCATTTACTATATAAAACAACTCAATTGTTCAGTTCCTTATGATTCTGTTAGTTACATGATATCATTATTGGTGAACCAAATTACCATTTTAGATGGAAAACAAGATCACAATTGCTGTACAAAATTCAATAACAAACGCAGATTGTCTACCTAATTAGATACAGTTACATCGAATAGCTTAAACAAAGCAATAAATCTAAACCATAGTTTTAAACTGGCTAAGAACTGTCACATTGCACACAAACAAATGATATATTACGGTAATATGAATTTGCGGAAAGTTCCTTTTTGCGCGTTGTTTCGTTCCGAGGTCAAAGTTTACGAAATCTCATTAGTTATCAATTTGACAGAAGCTGTGAACTTTGATCTTTCAGCGTGATAACTCTTGTGTAATTTTTATTGCTTTGAGAAGTTTGTTTTAGATTAACGTCCTGAATTGAAGTTTTGAAAATTAAAATGCTTTAAGACATGTATAATATTTGCAATTGCATATTATTTTGACAGGTAACATTATTACATAAACAATTTACAGGCTACACAAATACGTATATTGTGTTTTGTTTTATTTTATAAATAAAATTTCGGCAAAGAAATCTGAACGCAAAACATCTGGTTATAAACAAGGGTCAATACACATCACTGTTATATGTACCGATTTTTTTTCTACCTTTCCTACCTTTCCTCTATGGCTCCAGTTAATGGCGTTAGGCGGTTCGGGAGTATGCCTTACGATACACGTAAGGTTTATAGTTGATCCCGCATAGATGAATAAGTCGGAACCGCCCATTATTTCGGTTTCTGGTTCTGTAACAAAGATTATTTATAAATCTAGTAATGTTACTTCCGAGTTCCATTTGAGTGTATTCTAGTCATACTTTCAATAGGTTGTATGATGATAAAAATAAAATGGTTTTCAAATATTTTTTTGTTAAATTGACAAAATATGTACTTTCTTGTATATTGCTAAGTCTTTTGAGCAATGTTAATGTTGATAATCTGTGAATATTTGTTACAGCTTGGTATGTTTTAAATTTTTTATCTGTATATAATTATATCGCGGCACCATTAATATTTGCTTTTCCAAGTAATTTTCCACATTTCAAACCTCTAATATAAAGTTTTAAAAGCATTAATTATTTTCAAAATTTGTTATACACTCTAATAACGTATTTTCTAAGCGTTGACCGCAGAAAATTCATTTCATAATTTTAATCGCTGCGCCAAACATTAAATATAGTGTGAAAATTATAATTATGTGTTTTGAGGAAAAACCTTAATTAAATGAAGGACACATCTTGAACCCATTACCTACTTTAAATCATTATTTCATTTGTTAATAAACCAATCTTTAGTGTTAACAATATAAGATCGTAATCATGGTAACAAACATAAATTTAATCCAACTCAATAAATCAACGTTCTTACCTTATCTTTATTGAAAACTACATAACATACCAACAATACTGAGGTAGACGGCGTGACCAATAGGTGGTGTGGTAGAAATTTGACACTCGTACTGGCCGGAGTCGCGACGTTGTGGGCTGCGGATACGTAGCGCCCATTCCTCGGAGCGCTGTTTGTGCTGCGCCTCAAAGCGCTGGTCTGATGTGTATGTGTAACGGCCCACCGTTAGCAGATGGATATCGCGGTGACGCACCCATGATACCTAGGATTTCTAATCAGTTAGTACGTAATCTACTTGACTTCAAATCTTCATCGAATTAACATTAGACGCAATTAAAAAAGACAAAAGCAGACTGTCGTTCTTTGGTTGCCCACGCCAACAAGTTACCTAAATACACTAAAACTTGACTCTTAGAAACATTAAAGAAATTATAATAATGAAAAGATTCTTTGTTGTTCTTAATCTATAAGAGAATTCACAGACTACTCTACAAGAACATAATTTGAAGTCCCCAATGACATTTTGACACATCATAAATGATAAATGATCTCTATAACAATTATAACTAACAATGTTATAAGCACGTAGTTTGCTGAGTTCTTACCACAAAGCCGTGGCCATTAGCCGGCCAGTTCGAAGATTGGCAATAACAGGGTGACAACCCGAACTAAATGATCGAGGTACCGGGTCAAAGGGTCACTAACTTAAATTACATCACTGAGAACTTAACGATCTCCGCCCTACGGCTTAGATTGAGCAGGGTCTGACTAATGATTCGAAATAATTGAAATTATTGCGGCTGATTTTAAAGCATTACGCCTTTATTAATAGCAGGATCACTACAACGGTGTATTTTACGAAATTTTAAATGTTTAAATGTCTAAACAACGAGATGCTTTATATTTAAAAAGCTAAACGTATCAATTACTCGACAGTTTTTATAATACGACATCATTTATTGTATTACAATGGCACCTTTTTGAACTTTTTTATTTGTTATAAGAATGATGAATAAAATGATAATTTAACGTTACACCGAATGTGTAGTTTCACTTTCCGAAAAAGCGAAAATTTAATCTATTTTTACTGCACAAATTTTAACATGGCTTATTGTGAAATAAATAGGGTGGCAATTTATAGCCAGTCTATCACACTCATCGTCAGAAGCTACTCAATAGCTGCACAATGGAGGCAATCTATCGTTATGGCTCACATCCTATCGTAATACATATTATATTTTGATATATTTTATAGTCTGTTAACATTATATCGAAACGGGATTACGAGCGAATTATGTTGCTTTTCGATTATGTAACACGCTGTTTGATGTGTTTAATTCTATTTACGTAGTGTATAATGTTGTAATTGTTTGTAAATGTTATGAGTTTTTATATGAAATTTCATTCTTAGAAACTCGACTGTTATAAGGTTAAAAAAAATAAAAATTAATTAGGGGCACTACAACCTTTTTTACGTCTGGATTTCTGTATCTGTTCATGATCATTTGTCTATGTAATAGACAAATAGGTGATCAGTCTCCTGTGCCTGACACACGCCGTCGACTTTTTGGGTCTAAGGCAAGCCGGTTTCCTCATGATGTTTTCCTTCATAGTTTAAATGAATGTTAAATGCGCACATAGAAAGAAAGTGAATTTTCTTAGCGACCACGACCTCAGGGATTAGGGTCGCACGCTGAAACCACTAAGCCAACACTGCTGTTGTAAGTTTAGTTCTGTATTTAATCACAGACTATCAGATTTATTAAAATTACTTCCATCAACAAATATAATGAATATTTAAGTCTATGTAAAAATTTATAAAATTACAAACAATCATTTGCTATATTCAATTATTAAAATATACATCACAGGGTAAAAACATTAACCTAAACAAATGCTGCCAGCGTTAAAGGTACACTGCCACAGGTACCAAACCTTTTAAATTAGTTTTAATTTTCTTTCTATTAATTTTTAATTTTTTTACTAATACTATGTAGGTAAATATTGGAAATTACTGTATATTTGTATTTGTGTGTTAAAATAAATTACCTACACAAATTACATATTTTGACTGCTGAGTTTGTCTGTTACATGAGAATTAGCTTCAATTAGGCAATGTTGGAGAGTATATCAGAATAAGCTTAGGCCAATAGAATATGAGATAAAGTGGACTATGAAGACTCAGATCATTGATTGGATGGATGGATCACAAGGCAATGGATTACCAACCGCATTGAATTAGCAGTGACACTCCAGTGATACTGAACGTGCCGTCTAATGACTCAAAGAGATCGGAGATGTGGAAGAGATTAATTCATCGCTAACAACTTAACGCTTTTCAAAATTGCTGATCTGTGGTTAAGCTTTTGCTACGCGCGATTAATAAATTTATACAGCTTATGAATATTGATTATAATTTACTGATGAAAGATACTAGGACTAGTGGGGTGAAGTGAGTTGACTTCCGCGTCTACTGCAAAGACATGAAAATATATTCTTTGATTAGCTTCGAAATTGAGTTATGTAAAAAATTTATTTAATTGGTATTGGTATCCGTTAAGTAAGTTTTGTTAAGAATCTCAGAACCTTTTTTATGGACAGGAGGCAATCCAGCAGGGTTTGATTAAACTGCTAATGGCCGTTCATGGACACCTGTAGCGCCGGAGGGCTAGCAAGAAATGCCGATCTTTTAGATGTATGAATGGTATTATTTTTTTGAGTGGTAACGGTTCAGAAAAACCATTCTTGGCAGCTGGTTCCAAAAGAATGTGGTAGACCGCAGAAGTGCCTTAAAAACGCTATGTTAAACTTAAGTTATTACACTTATTTTATCGCGCTAATAAAATAGCTGCACAGATTAGTGTACATATATTAAATATTGGGAACTACATATTCCATAGATAGCGTATTTAAAGTGGTATAAAAACAATTCCTGACTGGTGGTATACAAAAACTGATAACTCAAATATTTAAGTCTGAAAAAGTACAAAGTAAGATGTTTCAGTGAATTGTGAGAGTTAAAGTAAAAAGTAAAAAAAATTCTTCAAGTCGCGGAGTGCAGCTGACTGATAAAGTAGTTGCCAGGTTTGCGAAACGTCGGCAACATTTTTTATCTCAATTGCTACAAGGGATAGAACATTAACTCTAGAATTTAATTCTATCTTCACGATTTATCTGAATATGTTCTGTTAGTTAATATAATTGTTATTAATTTAAAAAGTATTATATTGGGTTAGTATTACATATTTTATTTATTTATTTATTAACACTTCGTTGCATTAATATAATACAATTTGAACATAATTAAATGAAAAGGAGGGCAACTGGTGGCCTTAGCGCTTCCGAGCGATCTCGTCCAAGCAACCACTGTGAAAACAAATGTATTAAATTTGATAAGGTAAGCAAGAAGTGCAAAAATACATAATACATATAGTTATTAAGGAACTAAACAGGAAGAAAAATACTAAACTAAAAAGGATACATGAAAAATTAAAAGTGCACATGAATCACGATTTTTTTAGTTGTCTCATGTCACAGTAGTTATACGAAAGTTAGGGATACGATGTGGACTGATAATGTTTGTCAAATAAAAATTAAAAGCTTGATTGATAAATACAAGCTTTTTTTGCAATTGAATAATTTAAATTTTCGTTACGATATATTAATAAAATCAATATGTTTATCTATATATATTATAATCCATTTTTATTACAGAATACGCAAATGGTCAGGATGCCCATCTGATGTAAACATCACTTAAGTGATACCGCCGCCCATGGACACTGTCAATGTCAGAGGGCCCGCGAGTGCGTTGTCGGCCCAAAGGTATGGGAGGACATTTCGATATCTATATGGTGATCATTTGTTTTATTTTCTAATAGCTTGTCTAGGTGATCAGCCTACTGTGATGTTTTCTTTCAGCGTGCGAGCGAGTGTTAAAAAGACGCATAGACAGAAAGTCCACTGGTTTGGACTCCAAGCCTACTCGTACGACCTCAGAGATGAGTCGGTCGCTGAACACTGATGTATTTATTACAAGCCATAGTAATTAGTAACCAGAATTATAAATAACGAACTGTGTATGGAAATCACCAAAGAGCTTGTTCTAATATCTCTGAGATATTAGAAAAGACCTAGGTTTGGTTTCTGATATATCTAATATATAAAATTCTCGTGTCGCGGTGTTTGTGGTTAAACTCCTCCGAAACGTCTTGACCGAGTCTCATGAAATTTTGTGTACATATTGGGTATGTCTAAGAATCGGACAACATCTATTTTTCATCCCTCTAAATGTTAAGGGTAGTGCACCCTTAATATTTTTTTAATTTTTACATAAATATTTATTGTTTTATTTTTTTATGATACAGCTTTAAAAATACATACAACCCCTAATTTTCATCCCTCTACGATCAACCCCTATTTTTATTATAAATGATATACATGGCAAAACGACGTTTGCCGGATCAGCTAGTCAGTAATATAGAATAATATACTGTGTAGAAAGTTTTGAAGTTTTCAAACAAAACAAAAAGTTTTGACTGGAACAGATTTAGCAAAATGTAAATCCCTTAATGTGGATCCCATGGGGAGGTTACGGAGCATCATACAACTGCAATTTATAAATAGTTTGGCTTTTTTATATTAGAATTATAAAGCACAGTGTTTGTAATGAGAGAGAACCGTATTGTTCAAATTTTGTTGATTGATTTAATATAAGGGTGATGTAAACCAGTTCATGCATACAATTACAATATGAAACAATCTATCTAGATTTAATTTTGTATTTTATAACAAGAGTCCTTATTTTTCCTTCAGTATGAAATATATAATTTCTTATTGTTACCCGCAATAGCAGTTAAGACAAAACTCATAAAACAGTAAAAAAACAGTGGCGCTACAACGCCTAGTCTTGGTCTCAGATTTCGTTGTCTGTTTCGTGATATTTTTTTACTAATAGGCAAGTTGGAGGCATGCTGATGTTTTGAGCGAATAGAAAAGCACGTATAGGTGCTTTGGTGCACTTCTCGTGAAACAAAGACGACATAAGTTATAACAAATCTATAACTATCTTATATAAATAATAATAATAATAAAAAGCCATATTACAGTAACCAAAAATATTGATTTTGTTAGTAGGTTAGCTTAGATTATGTTAGTAATATATATATAACAGGAACGCCGGTTTGGGTAAAGGCCTCCTCCAAAGATGCCCATTTTTGTCGGTACTGTGCTATGGAGTGCCAGTTTTTGCCAGCTGATCTTTTCAGATCAACTTCCCAGCGGTCTAAGGGTCTCCCCTTCCGCCTCTTGCCTGGTAGTCCTATCTATTGGGTAACTCGTTTGATCCACTTTCTGCTAGACATTCTTGCTATATGGCCAGCCCAATGCCATTTCAGTTTTCTAGCAAAAGTTAAAGCGTTTGTAACTTTTGTGACGGCTCTTATCTTTGTATGTCTTATTTTGTCCATTTTCTTGATGTTTAACATGCTTCGCTCTTTGACATACATTGATTTTATTCACATCTTATATAAATAAGAAGAAAAAACCTTCCAAAATACAGATGTTCAAGTTTTTCTGTCCGCGGTAACAAATACGGTTATCGAATATTGCTGACATACAACAGCCGATATTTGAACATCGAAGCAAACATTCGTTTACGTGTTTGACAAACTTCGTACGGTTTCATAGGCGAACTTACGTGAAATAAAATATGACTTTATCTGGCTTTAATCGACTTAAGTGCTTGATTTCACTAAACTTTAAGCGACTTTAGCGGGATTAAATTGCTTAAGAAGTGCAATTACAAGTTTAGTCTTATATTAACAAGGCTTCTTTTGATGATACCGTCTCATCTTACCGATACTTATTTAATATATTCATTTCTGGCAACAAGGTTTTATTTTAATATATATAAATTACGTGTCACGTTGTTTGTCCGCTATGGACTCCTAAACTACCGAACCGATATCAATCAAATTTGCACACCGTGTGTAGTTTGATACAACTTAAAATATAGGATAGCTACCATCCTAATTAATACCCGCAATATTCTTTTATTGCAAAATATTTGTTTATTATTTGATAGTCACAATTCTAACAGATGGCGCTGTGTTGAAAGTACCAACGTTTCACATAAGCTACAATTTAATGGCATAACCACCAAAAAAGCATGGTGGATTGATGCAGTTTTACATCAGCATATCATCAAAATAATACTTAGGACTAACAACTCAAAATGTTAAAAAATACCAACTTTCACAATCACGGAAATACGCCCAAAATTCACACATAATAAAACTGAACAAAAGAAAATGTCACGTAAGTCGATTGGCTTGAGGAGGCGTGACGTGCGTTTATTCCCACTGGATTATCACCGTCTTTATGTCCCAATGGATAAGCAATGAAAATTAAGATAGCAAATTTGTAACAGTAGATACAGAATAGCAAAGGTTCAATTTGTTTTAACTGTGTTCTGAAACGTAACTTTCATGTAGCTAATTACTGTCCAATTAGTCTCGTTTCTTACAGATTTACTTGTACTTACAGCCGTACCTGGAGTCTTAGAAATTATAAGTATCCAAGAACGTTGCAACTCGGTTGAAATGTAATTCAGTTAACGACCAATTAAAGAAATGAGAATCGAAAATAAACGAAGGCAGCTTATATATATAATCTTTATAATATACTCATTTCAAGCGCTAAAATAATACATATTTAACCTATATTTGCAATATTATATATAAGACTAAAACAGAAGTGGCAATGGGCGGGGCATATAACAAGATACACCGATACTAGGTGGACCTTAAAGACAACTGTATGGAAAGCACCAAGAGGAAGAAGGAGAAGAGGTCGCCCAAAAAAAAGGTGGATAGAAGAAATAGAAGCGATAGCAGGAATCGAATGGAGAAAGAGAGCCATAGACAGATTCAGTTAGAAAAAGCTGGAGGAGGCCTTTACCTGCGAAGGGGTTCCGATCGACGGTACTGAAGGAATATATAATATATAGGATAACAAGTAAAAAAAATGTTAAATAATCTAAGCTGTATGATAATTTGTTTTTTTTGTCATTATTGGTAATAAATCGGGCTTTATTATTATTATTATTATTATATAAGACTAATTTGTATGAAGCTTAGAGACTTTAATATTGTTATTCCATATGAGAAGTCGTTTCGAGTTCTTTCCCGATATACCCCAATGGGTAAGCAATGAAAATTTAGATAAGAGGGAACAACTGCCAAATTCACAGCCTTCATTGCCAAGTCGCTCGAAATTTATTCTAGACATCTCTGATTAGGATGTGAATAACAGGACTTAGAAATTTGTCTATCGTAAGAAAAATTATTCTAGGAATTACTTTTTTTTATATTAAGTTGTAGATGAAATATGATTGCTATTTCGTTCTTTACATTTATTTTCCGCATCTCCTAATATAGATTATTTAATTCCTGTATATTTTATTTCATGCGAACTGGAGTCAAAAAATACAGTGGCGCTACAACCTTTGTATCTGTTTTTTATATATTTTATTCTTAATAGGCAGGTTGGTGATCAGCCTTCTGTGCCTGACACGTGCCATTGGTATTTAGGTCTAAGACATACCTAGAAGTACTGTTATAAAACCAATCTTAGTTTAATAATTTATATGGTTGTGTCGCGATTTTTGACATCATAGATTCTCAATGTTTGGAAGAATGAATGTCTCAAAGAGAAACCAGAACTTAATAATTCCTGTGAAATAGAAAGGTAAAATTAAAAAGTAACTTTAAATTATTTCAAGTTAAGGTTTACTATACACGTTTTTGGTTGTGAAGTTTTACGGGGTCATACGCTTAAGAGTTCTTTCAATTACAACTTGACATGGTTAGAATACTCACAGTACGATTTTGAAGGTTCTTCACTTTGCATAGAAGTGTGACCGGGTGTCCAACTAGACCGGTTACGTTGTCTGGAGTGCTAGGGTCAAAGTATGGAGACCCCGGTGTTTGTGGCCAGTCTTCTAAGAACTCCGTTCTAAATCTTCGCGAAGACTCCGATACGGAATTTTGTTCGCGTGACCGGTTGCTACTGCTATCTTGGTGGCACACTGAAAACAATAGAATATCATAGGTGATGTGAGAAATTTTCCTTAGCACTTTCAAACTTGATACTGTAAGTTCGTTTCAGACAACATAATAATTTACGTAATAATTCAAGACTGACAGTTACGATTACGAGAGCGTTAATTGACTTAAAAATTTAATTATTAGTCAACATTTATTGAAGAATTACAATTAGGATTGGTTGTCAATTTACTTTGCCTATAACTCATTTGCTAATGGAAAAATTTAGGTTGCAACATTCTGCATGTAGAACTAACATAGTTCTACTGTTTATCACATTAATTTCAATCATATACTTTATAGTACTTTTTACCGCGATGTAATTTTGTAAGCTAAGGAAAATTTTACTATATGATAACAAAATGTGTTTAGTTAGAAATTAAATCTTGATATGATAAAGGGCAACTAATAATATACATATAAAACTTATATACCAGTATATACATGTGCATTATTGTATACAATTCGCCTACTGGTTATTTTTCTTTGTTTGTTTCATTCACTGATAAAACTCAAATTTTCGTGTTTAATTTTATAACTATATAATTTTGTTTTACAAATAAACTCCCACAGAAACTTAGATCCAAATCGCAAATTTAAAATTGGATTGTCAATAAAAAGGTTTTATATAAAATTTATTAATCACGTCCAGATCATCCCTTTTATAAATTTGGTAAGAAATTGCGTGTAAAATGTCCAATCCCCAGAAAGCTGTTAATCTCTCTCGACTGTCGAAGGTTGATTAAGTGTTAAATTTTAAATTATCTACTTTTGACGTGGCATTTTGGGATTTCCATTAATTTGTGTTGTTAAAAGTGATCTTTGTCCATTTAATCTGCCTGTTATTTATGTTTTATTAATTAAAATATATATGTATTTATATTTTATTAGAATCTGAAAATGGACATTATTTGACTAAAATAATAACAAGAATAATTTTAAGTTTAAAGAAAAAACTTTTTAACCGGATTAAAGTTATGTATTATTATAAATTTACAATTATTTAACATAATTTTAAATTTATCCGACGTTTCGCGTGCTTTACAGCGTGCGTGGTCACGGTGACTGAAGACAAAAGGTGTTGGATGTCAAAAAGTATCACAGCTGTAGAGAAAGTTGCATTATCTGTATTTATTTCCCCGGAGTTGGTATCAACTAAAAGATGGAGGGCTTTGGCAAAAAATTTATAGTTTATTGTAAATTTATAATAATACATAACTTTAATCCGGTTAAAAAGTTTTTTCTTGAAATGTGTAAAGGTTATGGCAATAAAAGACAATACTATAATTTTAAGTTGTGATTAAAAATGGCGTATTGTAATGCTTCAGATAATGTAGTAAAATGCTACCGTAATTATATATAAATATTTAATGAAAAAATCAATGAGCACCACCCCTAGCCGTAAAATACTTTTCCTTTGAGACTTGTAACACATTCGGCTTCTGACCTCGCAAATAAGTAATGAGCGCAAGATTAATGTTAGCTTACTTAGAAATGCTGAAAAAGAGTTCAGGATTTATGTCTCAGAGGATGTGAATTTCTTAGACTATTCGAAGTAAATCAACATCTCTGTTCATTTAACAATTTCTCTTATGCAATATACAAACTTTCTGGGCTTGTTCTTCATCCAAGACATCCTTTGAAAGAGTAGAGGCATGTATGTTGTACCTTATATACTGTTTATTTGGTATTGACAGGACCATGAACTTAAATTGTTGCGTTTAAAATAAAATAATTTTTGCCGTGTAATAGGAGGCAAATAGGCAAGACCTATCACCTTATATCACCTTATATTAAGTAATGGTTGTGTCCAAAGACTTGCGAATGCGTTAGTGACCTTTAACGACCTTCAGCACTTACAGAGACAAATTCAACGAACTGGGAACTATATGTTTGTAAGATTTCTAATGTCTCATATATTCGTGTTAATATCTAAATATACTCTAAATAAAATAGTTCTTACCGATAATGTATGACAGAAAATTCACCGTAAAGAGGCATGCCGCCGCCACACGTGCCATTCCTCAGCCTCACAACCTTCGAGGAGGCATTTCCTGTAAAGATAACAAGAATTAAATAGTAATAGTTTTTACGTGTTAATAATCTAAGGTAATATAAATTATTTTAATTTTTATAAAATTATGCAAAAATTTTAAGAAAGCCTCGTGATTCTGAAAATATTATATTAACGGCATTTGTATATTCAAGTTTATTAAATTATAACACCCGTTACATTCATCATTACAGGCTAAAACTGTTTAATAATATATAGTAGCTCCACTCACTTAAAAATTCGACGTCAAAGAGAAATATTAAATAATATATAATAATGCTACGCTATAATAAATAATTAACTTAAAATAGAGGATAAAGGTCCACAAAAACAATATACACGGACCGTGTCACTACAATGCCTGTTTTGACAAGCTGCAATGACGTAATCCTTATAACGTCTGCTGTCAAATACAGTACGCTTCGTTACGGACAGACATTACGACTTATGTACTTGGTTTTAAAATATAAAAGCCTTGGATATGATGGTTTGGATCACGCCTGTCATAGCATTAGTTTTTAAAAATAAATGTCTGTTCACGTCTCAACCACCTCAACAACCTCTTTAAGGTAGGCCAAGACCGGTCTCTGATTCGGTATCTGTTTCATGATCATTTTTTAAATCTAATAGGTAAGTAGGTGATCAGCCTCCAGTGCCTGACACACGCCGTCGACTTTTTGGGTCTAAGACATGTCGGTTTCCTCACGATGTTTTCCTTCACCGTTCGAGCAAACGTTAATTGCGCACATAGAAAGAAAGTCCATTGGTGCACAGCCGGGGATCGAACCCACGACCTCAGGTATGAGAGTCGCGTGCTACTAAACTACTTCAAAAACTTTCATGCGGTTTCCTCAATAGATAAAGGGTTTCGGCTCACATACTTATTTACAAGACAGGCTTTATTATGAAATATAATTAAATATTTTTTGCAAACGTGATAAACTTGAATTACTGAGCTTAATCTCATTAATCTTTATAAAATTAATATATGTGTTTACCAAAGTATTGATAAACTGCCAGAGCCGAGCTTTAAAATAAAATTAAACTTACTTGTTCAAGCTGAACAGTAATTTCTACTTTAGCCCGGCTTCCCCATTGTTTTGGTTCCGAACCGTTCACAATGGATCCGAAGTTCCCCTTAAAACTTTTAAAGCAGTCATCTTGTTGTTCCACTTAACAGTTTCAACTTGCAAGACTACTGAGTGTTTTTGCTACATTGCACTTTAATTTTTCGCTAAGATTCAACCGTTTTTCGAGCAATTTATTTTTATTGAGGTGCACTTAATGTAGGATTCACAGTCCAAAATTTACGCAAACAAATACCAAAATACATTTAAGTATACATACTTAGCCGATAAGTCTCATTTCTGTATGTTAAGTATTACGTAAGCAGATTTACTGTAATTTATTCCCCCCTCCTATTGTCAGCAAAAGTAAACAAAGCTTTCAAAAATTAAAGTAGGTAGGTAAACGTATTAATATTTTGTAGAAATGATCGAAAATGCATTTCGTTTTCAAGCATAGACATTAGACAAAGTGGTAAAAACTAAAGCGCTCATATTGGTATCTTATATATATATATATATACGGCGTTATATTGGTGTGCGATGATTTTACATTTCTACTTATTAACTAAAATATATATAATATGTAAATTAATTAATGTTAGGTTACGTAAATCAGGTTACAAATAAAAAAATAATCAAATGTTTGTCTTTACTGCAAATTTAATTTTAACATAAGTGCTTGATGTATGTCTAACATAAAACAAAGTCTTTGTGATTGTTAAACACGCTCCATGAATTGTGAATTACATTTTCTAATAACCTTTCTTCTTACTCTATTACTTACTTATATTAAAAACACGTCTGTTTTTAATATATTATTTTAGCCAACGCAAATACTTTGATTTAAGTAAATCAAAGTATAACTAAAATATAATTGTAAAAACAGTGATTATACATTAAATTCAAAATAAAAGCAATTAATTGTCAAATACGTATATTTTTTGCGTTCTTAAAAAGATTTATTTGTTTATTTTACTTGAACAATAGAATTTATTGGCAGGCTTCGCTATTGAATCTTTTATTGTTTGTCGGCAAGAAAAAACTGAAGAAAAATGTAGCGAATGGAGGCTGAGAGATCTACTTTGGTGAAGGAGCAATGAACGCTCCTCCTTAACAAGTGTCATAATGTTTTTTCAGATAAAGGTTTTACTTAGATTCAAATAATCGTTTCTTTTTACTCATGAATTTTAGAATAATTAGTAGTTACAAACAATAGTGGCACAAAAAAACTTGTAAGTATAGATTTCTATAAGTGTTGCGTGATCAATTGTTTTTTTTTAATAGGCAGCTGATCAGCCTCCTTTGCCTGACACACGCAGATTTCTTTTTGGGTCGGCATTCCGGCTCGTTCACCATATTTTCCTTCAGAGTACGAGTGTTTAATGTGCACGCTCACAAAAAGGCCATTGTAGCAAAGCCCGGATTCGAACCTACGACCTTAGGGATTAGTCGCACGCTAAAACTACTAGCCCAACACGGCTCTTTAGATCAAAAATTAAGTATTAATTTAAAAAAAAATCATTAACACTGCATTAGCTATGAATAACTATTTACTTGGTAAAAAAGTTTTATTGTTTTAATATAACAGAGATTACGATAGGGTACAACCAGTTTATCAAAGTCATCAAAAGGAAGTAACTAAGTATAGAGTATATACAAACCACAGACTATAGAATGCGCCAATTTTATTTCAAACAAAAGCTTTGTATAAAGAATAAAAAATTGAAAATTAGGTATTATTCAATTTATAACTTTTCGCATCGTGTGACTCTCAATCTGAACTAGGGTTTAAACCCTAATTTAACACATACGGTGAAGGTAAACATCGTGAGAAAACTGCTCTATATCTCAAACCCACAAAATCCATTTCGTATGTTGGAGATAACTATCGTCTTACATACAATTATTTATGAAACTACATGATTCATGTTCACGATACGGAACTTATAAAATATACAAGTACGATAATTTAGGATTGCAATTTATAATCAGAACAGTAATCATATTGATGAATAAAACATTTATCTTTGTTAACAATTTATCTGTAATAGTATCAAATACACAATGCTATTGTTAATTCTCATACCAAAACTGTAATGCTTTCACGAGGAAACTGACAGCGATGGTCTGTAGCTTTGATATGAATTAAATTCTACATTAACAGTTTAATAAAGGCTGGGATTTATACTGAATACTTCCTATTTTATTCAAGGATTTCTCTTTGATCCAGCAGCTGTGAAGTGAAACTTTGTAATTGCTGGGGTAAAGGGTCGGTACCATTTCACTTACGCCCTAAGTGTATACTTGTGAGTGCAATTTAATATAATAAGTACTCTACAATTTCATACTTTAAGTTCTTGAAACGGTCGTGGGTCCTTGTTATTCAAAGTTCGTCTCGTTTAAATCTCTGGAATTCAACTAAGCTTAGTATTGTTTCTAAGTACTCTTCATACTTTTCTCGAGTCGACCTGACATACGAATAAGTGAATAGAAAATGTTTTAAGTTATGTAAATGAAAATAATTACGCTTTGATATAGGACACTTTCACTTTGGTTTGATAAACACAGAGGGACATTTATTCTTAGGTAGGAGCAAAATAAATATAATAAGGAACTTCGTTCCAATATATAAAATTCTCGTGTCATGTTCGTTCCCATACTCCTCCGAAACGGGTTGACCGATGTTTACGAAATTTTGTATGCATATTCAGTAAAGGCTGAACACAAAACTGCGAATTCGCATCGCATCGCAAATATCTGCGAATTCGCACGAACGCAACGTAAGAATTTCCGATCTGCTTCGCATCGCACATTCCTGCGATTTTACGTCATCCTTGGTGACACCATTTTAGTCCGCTCTGAGACAGCTTTAGAGAAAAGTGGCGGAATATGATATAGATTTTTTAATATCTTTAATTGAGGAGCGTCCCGTCCTTTGGTCCTGACCTGATAGTCAGTCCCAGCATTTCCAAAGGCATAACAGGAATTCTTCCTTTGTACGATCGTTTTTGAAGGCATGGTGATAATATACTCAAAAGCTCTTCAAATGAAGATAATATGCTCATTTTAAAATAATCAAAAAATGTATCTTCTTCAGTTCTCAACGCATAGTACTTTTGAATAAAATAGTTCCCATCAGAGTTCATAATCGTAATGAATGGATGAACCCAGAATCTTCTTTTTCTTTTATATCTATTTAACAATAACAGCAGTGCAATAATCTTTTTGCGATCCATCCTACGCTTCTTAAAAACACGTTCAGTACGGCTGACTTCGAAGGAATGGTCGCCCTACCAAACGATTTGACGCACTAAATGCGATGCGAATTCGCATCGCATCGCATCGCAGTTTTGTGTGGGAGCCCTAAGTCTGAGAATCGGACGAATACCTATTTTTAATCCCCCTAAATATTTATTGGATATAATTTTTTTTGATACAGCATACAAAAATACATACAACCCTTAATTTTCACTAACGATCAACCCCAATTTTGGTATATTAGATAGTTATTTTTATTGAACTAAAAAAATGTGTTCTAGAAATTAGATGGCAAAACAACGTTTGTCGGGTCAGCTAGTATATATATAATATCTAACCGAAGGTAATTCTAATAAACAACTTACACTAATTGGTAACTGACAATGATTGGAATCAGATACAGATACCGGCAAACATCTTGAACAAATGTCCTTGCCTGTGCCGAAGCGATTTTTAGGTATCATTGGGAGGGCGGCGGCGGGAGAGTCACGTGTCGATCGCGTGATTGGTAAATCAGTTGACGTTTTGCGTACGTACGATGCGCATACTTTCCCCCGCTCCCTTATTTAATGCTCAAGAAGTTTGCTGTATCTATAACACCGATACAATTGTCAAAGTAGCTAATACCTTAGCATATATTACT